GCCTTTGGCTCAGGTCATGATTCCAGGGTCCTGGGATTGAACCCTGCATTGGGCTCTCTGCTCAGGGGGAGCCTGCTTCTCCCTCACCTGCTCCCCCTGTTTGTACTCTCTCCCTCTGTCAAGTAAATAAATAAAATATTTTTTTAAAAAAATAAGAAATATATATTTGATTGTTGTCCTTCCTCCTCCTGACACAGAACTAATAAAACCCTTGGAATTTCCTAAGTGATGAGAACAATCACTTGTTCTTGAGAACACAAAGGTGTTTATTGTTATATTAATGAGGCAACTTTTGGAAAGCCTAAGTAACCTGTGGATGGGTTGTCAAGGGAACCAACCTTGTGAATAGAGGGAGTGGAACTTTCAGTCCCATCCCCTGACTCTGGGAAGGGGAGAGGGCTGGAGGTTCAATCAATTACCAAATAGCTGATGATTTAATTAACGATGCCAATGTAATGAAGCCTCCATAAAAAGTCAAAAGGTTGACGTTGGGAGAGCTTCCAGGTTGGGGAGCACATGTAGGTCCTGGGAGACTACACTCAGAGAGGGCGTGGGAGATTTATGCTCCTTTCCCCATACCTTGCCTATGCATCTCTTCCATCTGGTTGTTCCTTTTATAATAGAACAGTAATCTATAATAGAGCAGTGAAATGTTTCCCTGATTTCTGTTAGCTGTTCTAGCAAATTAATTGAATCCAAAAAGGAGATTGTGGGAACATCTGATTTTCTATTGGTCAGAAGCCTAGGTGATGTCTGAGGTCTGTGTTGGAGGGATCTGACATTATCTCTGGGCAGATTAGTTGAGTTGAACTGTAGGATAACCAGCTAGTGTCAGAGAATTCTTGGTGGTGTGGAAAAAAACATACACTGGAAGATATGTAAACATTAGAATTGTTCTGTCCTTTTGATGAATTGACCATTATTATTAAATGACAATTGATATTAATATTCTTTGCTCTGAAATCTAGTTGACTGATGTTAATATAGCCACTCCATCTTATCTTTTGATTAGTGTCATCATAGTACTTCTTTCATCATTTTACTTTTAACATAATCATGTCTTTATATTTAAAATGGTTTTTTTAGGGACGCCAGGGTAACTCAGTGATTGAGTGTCTGCCTGTGGCTCAGGATGTGATCCCAGGTGCCTGGGATCAAGTTCTACATCGGCTCCCCACAGGGAGCTTGCTTCTTCTGCTATGTCTCTGCTCTCTGTCTCTCATGGATAAAGGATAAAATCCTAAAAAAAAAAAAAAACAAACAAACAAAAAAGTGGTTTTTGTAGACTACATATAGCTAGGTCTGGCTTTTTAAATCTAACCCAGTAATCTCTGCCTTTTAATCGGATGTTTACACCACTTTCATTTATCATGATTATTGATATGGTTTTATTTTATATACCAACCTGCTATTTGTTTTCTCTTTGTCTTGTCTGTCCTTTGTTCCCCCTTTCCTTCTTTCCCACTTTATTTTTAGATTAAGCATTTTTATGATTCCATTTTGTCACCTTTGTTGGCTTATTAGCTATAAATCTGACGTGACTATGTAGGTGTGTGTATACATTTCAGTGGGGTTTTTTGTAGATTTATAGCATAGATTTTTAACTTTCTAGCCTACTTTTGAGTGAAATTATATACTTCATATATAGTATGGAAACTTACAGTTATATTTCCATCTCTCTCTTCCCAGTCTCTGTACTATTAATCTCATATATTTTATTCTATATGTTAAAAAGCCCTACAATATATTATTTTTCCTTCAAATGATCCATTATCTTTTAAAGAGATTTAAATAAGAAAGAGTCAGGATGCCTGGGTGGCTCAGCATTTGAGTGTGTCTTTAGCTCAGGGCATGATCCTGGATTTGGGGATCAAGTCCTGCATTGGGCTCCCTGCAAGGAACCTGCTTCTCCCTCTGCCTATATCTCTGCCTGTCTGTCTCATTAATAAATAAAATATAAATAAATAAATGTATGTCTTATCTTCACTCACATACTTTTAATTTCCAGTGCTCTTTCTTTTCTCTAGATAAGATTTCTATTTGGTATAATTTTCCTTCTGTCTAAAAGACTTCATCATTTTTTGTAGTTCAGTTCTACTTGTGTGGACTGTAGCTTTTGTACATCTCACAAAGTGTTTCACCTTTCTTTTTTTTTTAAACATCTTTGTTGGATATAGAATTCTGTGTTGACAGGTTTTTTTCTCTGCTATTTTGAAGATGTTAGTCTACTTTCTTCTGTTTTGTATTGTTTTCTAAGAAAAGCTTGCTATTTTTAGCTTCTCTATGTAACGTGTCTTTTTCTCTGGCTTTTTAAATATTTTTTCTTTATCACTGGTTTGGAGCAATTTGTGATGGGCCTTATGATGTGTAGTTTTCTACATTTTTTTGTATGTGTGCTTGTCATTCATTGATTTTCTTGGTTCTGTAGGTGTATAGTTTTCATCAAATTTCAAAAATCTTCACTCCAGTACACATAAATTAGGCCAATAGAAGTCATCACACAATTCACTGCTGCTTTGTTAATGTTTTCTCCCCAGTCTTATTTCTGTGTTTCATCTTGGATCTATTGCTGTCTTTAAGTTTACTTATCTATTCTTTTATAATGTCTCATTACTGTTCATTCAATCCAGTGTATTTTTCTTCTCAGAGTTACAGATTTCTTGAGTCATATGTATAATTTGTGTTCTTCCCATGTCCAGCTTTTCCTCCAGCTTATTGAATATATGGAATATAGTTACAGTGGTTTTAATGTCCTTGTTTAATAATTGGGTCAGCTGTATCATTTTGGGGGTGGTTTTTCTTGATTTTTCTGCTCATTATAGGTCTCATTTTCCTACCTCTTTACATATCTTGTAATTTTTTATTGGGTGTCAGATATTGAGAATGTTGCCTTGTTGGGTGTTAGATATTTTTTTAAAGAATTTATTTATTTATTTATTTATTTATTTATTTATTTATTTATTTATTTGAGAGAGAGAGGCAGAGACACAGGCAGAGGGAGAAGCAGGCTTCATGCAGGGATCCTGATATGGGACTCGATCCTGGGTCTCCAGGATCATGTCCTGGGCTGAAGGCAGCGCTAAACTGCTAAGCCACTGGGGCTGCCCAGTGTTAGATATTTTTGTGATCCTATAAAGATTCTTGAACTTTGTTCTGGAACACAGCTAATTTACTTGATAACAGCTTAATCCTTTTGGTTCTTGCTCTTCATCTTTCTTGGGAAGAACCAGAAGCATGTTTAATCTAGAGCTTATTTTTTCCCAGTACTGAGGCAAAATTTTTGAGTATTCTGACTATTGCTATGCAAATTTTGAGGTTTCTCCATTTTGGCAAGTGGAAATAGGCACTATTCCCAGCCCTGTGTGTGCCTTGGAGAGTGTTCCTCTCAATAACTTCTTCACATGCATGTGCTGATCAGTATTCATCTGAAAACTTAAAGGGACCTAACCTGGAGATATCTGGAGCTTTGCATGCCATTCTCTTCTGTCCATTATTGCCCTGCAGACTTGAGTTCCCTGGCCTTCTTGGACATCAAGGCTCCAACTCCTCTACTCTGGGAGACTGCTGAGCCCTATTTGGGTTCCCCTCCTTCCTGCACAGCCTGGAAATTCTACCTGCAATATGCTAGGGCAGTCACAGGGCTTTCTTTCTCATCCCTTGGGGATCAGTCCTTCATTACCTGATACACAATATCTTGAAAACTGGAAACCATTCTTTCATATATTTTGTCTGTTGTTTTTTTTTTTTCTCCAGTGTTTTGAATAGAAGAGTAAACTCATTTACTATTACTTCATCTTGCCTGGAAGCTGCAGATGATATTGGAACATTTGGAGAGTTTGTTAAACTACACATATCTTGGGCCACACTCCAATCTCATTGATTTATAGCAGTGAGGCTAGGGTATATGATTTTGCAGTTGTACATTAAAAATATGCCAGGTATTAGACAAAGATAAATTAGACATAATACTTGTTTACAAAAGAGTTTATAATCGAGTGCAAAAGACTGGTTCTTATGGCATAATGTATTAAAAATAATGTCTATAAACAGTGTGTTATGGAGCATCCTTTTGAAGAAAGGCATATCCAAATGTAGCCCTATGGCAGCCAAGGGAGGGTTAGCAAATGCTTCCTGGAAGAAATAAAGGAGTGAATTTGGAAAGATGGGCTGGAGTTAATTAGTGGAATTAGTGGAAATAGGGGGAGAAAGGACCAGGAGGCAAGAACACTCCAAGAGAAAGTATTGTTATGAAGGCTTAGAGGTACAAGGTTGCATAATACATTTGGGAAACTACAAATAGTGTGGAATGGTTGGATCAACATGGAAGAAGAGGAGGTCTCCAGTGTCTCCATCTGTAAAAGGAAACTTTTATCCCTAATTTTCTGTGGGAGTGCAGGAAGTAAAAGAGAATAATTCATTTTAATTAAGATAGAGTAGTGAAGCATGTCATATTAGATACGTCCAATTTTCCTGTGAAGCTGAAAGTATGTCTGATTAATTCTTCCATTTATTTGTGGCTCAGGTCATGATCCCAGGGTCCTGGGATTGAGTCCCACATTGGGCTCCCTACCAGGAGACTGCTTCTCCCTCTGCCTATGTCTCTGCCTCTCTTTGTGTGTCTCTTATGAATAAATAAATATTTTTTTTAATAAACACCTGTTTTATATCAGGCTACATCCTGGGTGCAACAGATCCAGAAATTTTTAAGATTATAATTTGATAGTATTTTTAAAATTGTTTCAGTAGTTGTTTTAAATAATTGTTAAACAATTATGCAACATATATCACTTAACAATAACAGCTCATTCAGAACAGTATCAATTTCAGAAAAGCAATCAGTGACTGCTTTGAGAGGAAATTTTCATCTTACCTGAGGGCAACACATAATATTGAACATAAGTGACCACTCAGCACCAAATACCAAGCACTGTTGTAAGCACTTTTTATAAATTAACTTATTCGATCCTCACAGAAATCTTAGTACTATTATTAATTTTTACTTATTTTAACCACAAGATACTCTTTTGACAGTGGTCTTTCCACATATTTATTTTACCACGGACTCATCGTTACACTACCACAAAAAAATAAAGAAAGTTTCAGAGATGTTGAGAAATAGAGGTGGGGTCACTGAGACAGTTGAGGGTGGTGGAAGTAATTATTTTCTGCCAAATGCAAGTTTTTCAAACTGCCAAAGAATTTTTCTAGGAAAGTGAGTCAAAAGGCAGATAATGGCTGCATCTCCCCAAACCAGTGGATATAGTAGTAAACTCAGGAGTCTGAACTACATCTACCAACATGAATAGCAACGTCTTCCTAAAGGTAGATTTGAAACAATGCCATTATTAGGCCACCCCAAATGTAGTTTAAAAGTAAATAGTACTAGAAACTGAAGAGTAAGCACATGCACGATTTATCATTTCACTCTCATGGGATCAGCAAATATCTGTAACACAATTTCCCTTAAGTGGCCAAGAGAGGCAAGATGACAGTTTCTGTTCTAAACATTTGAAAGGAAAATTACCACTTATCTTCCTAGACTTCCTACCACATTCAAAGGAGGACCTGAAAAATATGGACATCACAGGCCATGCTACTAAATTCTATGAGCTGGAGACAGACAAGGCCTCTCCTGAGGCCTCTGGATTCACAGGAACAATGATTTTGGAAACTTTAATGTCCCCTCTGCCTTGCACATTTGTATTTTCTCCCACAGTCTATGCTGAGACCAATGTAGACAGGATCCCAGTTAGAGTATTCCAGATGACAGCTCTTCTGATGCTTCAGTCTACCTCTTCATGTGATATTCCAAGTACTTTATCCTAGAAGAGAACAAGAGGAATAGACTCATAACATTCCAGGTTTGATTCACTGTTCAACTGAAAACATATGCCTGTGAACTCTGCTCTCTTGTCCCAGGCATGACCCAGGTTTTGGAGACTGACAGGGTTAGGGGAGGGTTTGGAAAGATGACCAGTGTCCTAGGTATTCCTGAAAGGAAAACATGTGCTAAGGACTTATGTTACACATCCAGGGCTACCAAGCTACATGGAAAAAAGGTTTTGATGCTGTACTTAAAATTCAAAAGAGTAGATGCTTGACAGGTTGAGGACTATGGAGGATGCAAACCTCTCCTTACAAAGTGCTGTAAAATGGATGAGGTTGCAGGACCACAGGGTAACTATTTGAACAGTGCTTTACATTGAGGAAAAATGGCCAAGGAGTTAATGAAAATCTCATGGTAGCTCATTTAGCATGCTTTTTAGATACAGTTGCTATTCATTTGATTGACTGATTCATTATTCTGGGAGTATTGGCTGAACATCTATGATGTATATAGAAGGAACGGCAGTATTGAGAGACAAAGAGGCATAAAATACCTAGGCTTGCCCTCAGATTTGTAGTTTAGTTGGGAAGATAAGATGCATTTGCACAAAATGAGGAATACTGTGATAGAGACCCTGGAAATCTTGTGCTTGGAAATCATTTTCCTCCTTCTCCACCACTATAAGGGCACCCTGGAGAGCCACCAAAACAGCTGGGGCTAATGGAAGTCCCTCGGTACTTGCCACCCCAGCATCAGCTTTCTTTCCTGTTCATGGACACTGAGCACAAGTTTCAGTCCACATCTCCTCCACACTTCAAGAGGTCCTAGCAACTCATAAATATTATTTTATCAACATCTTCCTTCTTTATTTTTTGCAAATCTTCCTCTATCAGCTTTGGGAAAATTAGCCCTTTCTCTCTCATTCTTTATCCTCCTTCTCCTAATTTCCAGCTACATGTTCCAAATTAAACGCAACTGTGGCCAAGACTTAAAATTAGGATTTATAATGGGCCAGAAAAGTAAACTAATAAATTACAAATGATAAAAACCCCAATGCCATCAAATTCTAAAGCCTTTGAAAATGCCCTTTATTATTTCTACCAAAAATCCATCTATTTTCTCTAATAAGAACTGTTTTTCTCTCTAGCACCAGCAGCCAAATTAAAAACTAAGTAAATAAAAATATATTTTTCTTTCCTTACATTTTTGTTTGCTTATTAGAATCAGAACCACCATTTTTCATAGCAGATTTATTGAAATATATCACAGAATTCATCCTTTTTAAGTATGTAATTCAGTGGTTCTTAGTATATTCAGAGTTGTGCAGCCATCATCTTTGCCTGATTTTAGAACATTTTCATCACACAAAAAGAAACTCCTTATCCATTAGCAGTTACTCCCAATTCCCTCTCCTCTCATCTGTCTCTATGAATTTGCCTATTCTGGATATTTCATAAAAGTGGAATCATAAATGTAGGACCCTTTTGTCTAACTTCTTTCACTTAGCATAATGTTTTCAAGGTTCATCCATCTGGGACATTAAGGAGGGCACATGATGTAATGAGCACTGGCTATTATATAAGACTGATGAACTCTACCTCTGAAACTAATAATGTGCTATATGTTAATTGAATTTAAATTTTAAAAATGGGGGAAAAAGTTTATCCTTTTATTTTGTTCCTTTTCATGGCTAAATACCATTCCATTGTATGGATATATCATATTTGGTATTTCCTTTCATCATTCATCACTGATGAACATTTGAGTTGTTTCCACTTTTTGGCTATTATGAATAAATGAATGGTGATATGACCATTCATATACAAGTCTTTATGTGAACATCTGTTATCAATTTTCTTGGGTTGATACCTAAGAGTAGAATTGATAACTCTATGTCTGATATTTCGGGGAATTGCCAGATTGCTTCCATAGGGGAAGCATGGCTAGTGGGTATGAAATGATATCTCATTATGTTTTTGTTGTTGTTGTTTTAAGTAGACTCCACGCCCAGCGTGGAGCCCAATGCAGGGCTTGAACTCATGACCCTGAGATCAAAACCTGAGCTGAGATCAAGAGCCAGACAATTAACCAACTGAACCACCTAGGCACCCCTTCGTTGTGGTTTTGGTTTGCATTTCCCTAATGTTGAAATGAAGATGTAAACAAACATCTCTTCATGTGCTTATTTGGCCATTTGTATACCTTCTTTGGAGAAATGTCTATTCAAATTCAGTGCCCATTTTAAAAATTGGGTTTTGCCTTTTTATTGTTGAGTTGTGAGAGTTTATTACATATTCTGAATACAAGTTCCTTATCAGATATGGGATTTGAACATATTTTTTCCCATTCTGTGGGTTCTTTTCACTTTCTTGGTAGTGTCCTTTGAAGCAGAAAAATTTTAAATTTCAATTTAGTCCAATTTATTTTTTCTTTTGTTGTTTGTGCTTTTAGTGTAGACTTTTTTTATAGAAAACTTATAGCATTTCAGCTGCATTACCTAACTAAATAGACTTTTGAGACCTGGCCTGTGAGCCCAGTTGATACCTACAATCTCTTTAGAGAAATATATCAACAAGACCAACAAGGATGGTTCTTTGCTATACATAATTACAGTACAGACATGAAGTGTTGTAAGAGGTCAGAGGCTGGGGAGTCCCTTGAGCTAAAGTGGTCAGGAAAGGCCTGGAGCAGAAGAGGGACTTGAAGGGGTCATGGAAGAAAGAACAGTTAGAGCCAAAATAATGTCAAAGAATCTACCCTTTTAGCATGAGTTAAGGCAGCTCAAATTTAGAATACTTGGAGCCTTAGTTGTTCAGATCAGCCACTTAAGGCTATATACCTGGGGCAAATATGGAAAACAGGAAGGAGGGCACCTGGGTGGCTCAGTGATTGAGCGTCTGCCTTTGGCTCAGATGGTGATCCCAGGGTCTTCGGATGGAGTCCAGCATCAGGTTCCCCATGGGAAGCCTGCTTCTCCCTCTGCCTATGTCTCTGCCTCTCTCTGTGTGTCTCATGAATAAATAAATCAAATTTTTAAAAAAGAAAGAAAAAGAAAACAGGAAGGAACAGAAGACTAAGTAAGCTTAACAGGAAGCCACTGAAGACGATGGTGGGCACTTCAGCCCCTTAGCAAGATCAGCTGTATTTTCCTTCTGGTAGCCAAAAAACCAAGCCTGTTTGGAGGCCTCAGGGCAATGCTGGCCACGCATAAAGCAAACACAAACCTGCTACCTTTGGACCATTCTAGTGGCAAGAGGACTAAGGATAATTTGGGACAAAGGCCTGTCCTTCCCAGGAAGGGTCTGAACAGACAAAAATGTGCTTGCTGAGCCTATTGAGATTTAAAGCTATGGGTTAGAGCATTTTGAAGAGGTGAACCTTATGAAGCCATCTGATTATGGCAGCTTTGGGGAAACCTCAAGGAATGAGGATAAAGAATGGGGAAGAGTTGAGTCTGAGACAGGGAGCTGAAGTTTGTCTGGTTTGCCTGACAGTAAGAAATTAAAAACAGACACAAATTTGGGGTGCCTAGCTGGCTCAGTGGGAAGAGCCTGTGACTCTTGATCTTGAGGTTGTTAGTTTGAGCCACACATCGGGTGCAGAGATGACTGAAAAAAAATAAATACAGTCTATTTTTTAAAAAAACAAACATAAAAATATAACTGTTTGCTTTTTGATTCATATCAAAATGTCCCTGTCAAGACGGCTATGTCCAAGCAGCAATGAGCAAATATCATGAGCGCTGTATCTTTCTCTGCCTGTCAGCGTCTGAGAGAAAAAGGAACTGTCTGCCTTTCCCTGTCTCACTGCCAGACTTCCACCGCCTGCAAAATTTGTGAAAACAGAAATTTTATCTATCTAAACATTTTATATCTCTGTATCTCTTCATTTCCTGTTGTATCTGACCAGTGTCTCTCCTCCAACACACATACCCCATGTACCCTTTGGGAGCTCAGTAAATATTTATTGATGATGAAGATAATCACTACAAATATGTTCCCATCACTGGGATATATCTCTTGCCACTCAACTGTTCTAAATCCATGAGAGCTGCTTCAAAGATGTGTTCCCTTCACTTAAAAAAATAAAAACCCTGAAAAAAAAAAAACCCTTAACTTTCTATTCTACCTCCTCTCAATTCTGGGAAGATTCATTTTGAAATAGGATGCACTTACCCATCCACCCTGCTGCTGGACCCAGGGTGAGAAGTTGTCTTTCAGGTACTTGGTTCCAAATCCCAGCACCCTGTTCATGGGGTGGTTGTCAATGGCAGTGAGCTTGGCCGTGACGTCTATTGCAAGAGCAGCCTTAAAGCCCCGAGCTCTGACCTCTGATTCTCCCCTGGTGTCCACACCCCTTAAGAACTGGTCTGTGATGGTCTTGAAAACAGGGTAGGACAGCCGGTCCTGGAAGCTGTTCATTAAAGCCTTGTCTTTCTTCAACTGTGTGCAAGACGAGATGCATTTAGTACAGCAGCCTGGCCAGTGAAGCAGACTCTCTGGTCAGCAGTGGGCCACAAAACTTTACCCTGGGGAAAACCCTGGATTCTAGACATACGGAGATTTCTTAGTGAGCGGAGACTGGAAATCCTTGAGTTCTGCCTTTGAGGAATTGATAAGCTAAACAGGTTCTCAACAAATATTGTTTCTTTTTTTTAATTTTTTTAAAAATTTTTATTTATTTATGATAGTCTCACAGAGAGAGAGAGAGAGAGAGAGGCAGAGACACAGGCAGAGGGAGAAGCAGGCTCCATGCACCGGGAGCCCGACGGTGGGATTCGATCCCGGGTTTCCAGGATCACACCCCGGGCCAAAGGCAGGCGCTAAACCACTGCGCCACCCAGGGATCCCCAAATATTGTTTCTAAAAGGGATATTCTGGGGGTGCATCCAATGCTATGTAAAGATTTTGGTGGATTAGTGTTCTTTATGTGAGCCCAGCCCACCCCCCAACTTCTGTGAGACACAAGGGGCCTGTCTGAATTAGGAATCTGTAGCAAGAAGGACTAATGTCCTCTACAGCAAGAATGGACTCCCTCTGATCAGTGACTGTTGAAGAAGCTAGATTCAAAACCCCAGTGGGGAGCTGGAAGCCTGGACTTTGCCAGAACAGAAGAATCAGATGCCAGAAAGAAACACCTTCCTCAGAGTACCCTGGCCCATCCCGGCCTTGCTCCTTTGGGTTGCCCCTGGCTCTGGCCTCTCAGACAGGTGCAGGAGGAGGCTTCGTGTGCTCTCAGGGCTGAGTGGCTTTCCAGGCACTAGGGAGCCATGGAGGGAGCAGGCCTTCCCATCGTCCCTGTCCCAGGCTAGTGGGAACCCACACCCAGACAGCAAAGTCAGACCTTCTGTGGGTTCCTACCAAAGTCCACCATGTTTTTACATAAAGAATGTAAAGTATCACTCCAAATCATCAAAGAGAGATTTTTTGAAGTGGTAATTGAAGGGGTGAAAAGGAAAGCCTCGCCCTATAACCACAGAGGTCTGCTTCACGCCACCTCCTGTCCCTTGCCTCCACAGTTCAGTGCAAGTCCCTGCTTAGGGAAACTGGGAAAGAGGGTGCCATGAGAGAGCCACAGAATCTTCAAGCTGTAAAGAATCCTCAAGGATTTGAATAGACCTCTCTCCCAGTCCAAGGACTGCACTGCTGGCTGGTCACTGGCATCTACTTGACATTCTTCTGGGGACAGGAAGATCATTCCTTCCCAAGGCAGTCTTCAGTGCTAGAAAGTTCATTCCTAAAATGGAGAAAACCAATCGCCCCATAATGTCTATCCATTGATGTTAGTTCTGGAGGAAAATAGGAGTGCACATTCCATGTTCTTCCTCTGCACCCCTGTTCATCCTCTACTATGGACCTGTAGCTCACATACCCTGCTGCCTTTTCCTTATCTGCTATCCCTGGTTCTCTCAGTTTCTCATTCAGCACCATCCCACATGCCCTTCACCCTCCCGGACACCATCCTCTGGGGACACCCCTGGCAAATGCATCAAGAGGGAGCATGTTGGGACTAGGGTAGGCTGGCCGGCCAGTTTCCTCTCTTGTACAAGCCCCATAGGGCCAGACTTCCTCCCATTGATCCTGGTAGGACAAGGAAATGGGTCCACAGGCCAGTCCCTGACTGATGCACCCCAAAGACCACTCAGCAGTCTGTGGGTAAGCACACAGAACTCCCCTCTGCGTACAGTGGGGTCCTGCTTATCAGCTCTGTAGCTGAAGACACCTTCACACCTTTCTGACCAGAAAGGACGGGTCTCGATTTCTCAATGGCAAGAGATCCAAAGTTTCCCCAAGTAGCGCAAACCCGCCTCTCTGCCAAATTGCTGAGAGAGGCCCGGAGCAGAAAACAGTCCGGCCACTCTCCAGGGAGACCTTGGGAAGGATGCCAGCCTCGGAGCAGGCGTGGGACACCGATATCCAGACTCCGGGGCAAATGCAAGTCTAAACTTCCCCAAGGATCAGTTACATGGGGAACCAGATTCATAATTCTCTTCAGCGAATTTTAATTTATTGGTGTCTTTTCTTGCAATAACAAAGTTGCATTTTTCATTTCCAAAAATTCCAGGGAGGCTCCAGAAGGTTTACTTATGTTTTCCAAAGTGATTCATTTTTGAGATGCTGCCAGCGTGAAGAATTTTCACTCCAAGGGAAATAAAACTCAGGACTAAGTGGAAACCAGAACTTGCAAAGGAATACAATCTGGAGTATGATTCCATTCTCCGTCCCAGTGCGTGGGCACAGAAAGAAATCACATTAGTTCAAGAAGCTCCATACCTCTCTTTCCAACTGATCCCCTGAATATTTCAGCAGCTCAACGATTTTGGCTATTATCTGATCTTCTCTGTCTGTCAGGAGGAAATTCCAGTTATTTCTTTCAAGAAAAAATATAATCTTAATTTTTCTTCCCTCTCCCCTCTCCCCTTTACCACCCCACAATTCTTGCAGCCTGCTTAGGGATTGAGGGAGACATGTGCTCTGTAATTCTTAGCAACTTAACTCTTCCCTCACCTTGTCTGACAAGGCACCAACCAGACACCCTCTCCCACAGACCCCTCCTTTCCTTTCTTCTTCCTTTTTCCCTTGGCACCCCCACTTCTCGCTACGAAATGTATCCTATATTCATTGTAAAAATGTTGTTGACCATGTTAGTTCCACCACTCATGATCCCATCTCTGAAGATAGTTGGGAGAACTTCTCTCTGGTCTGTAGGATTCTCCTGAGCAGAAGGTGCTTTTTCCACGTGGACACCATAAATTCCATTTGGTGCTATACCCCCTTTGTGCTGCTAGAAAGTGCAGAGCCTGATCTGCGGCTCCCATCTAAGAGGGGGTTACAGTCTTCTTGGCCTGCTTTTTGGGGAATTAAACTCATTCCTAAACCCACCTTATTTTCCCACTAGTATTTTCATTTTACATTATCTTTCAAATGTGGTCTCTTTTATCCTCTGAACAGTGTATACTATGTCTGCTGTCTTTACAACAAGGCAGGGGATAAATAAAATTATTAAGTTCTCCCACCCCGAAGGCTAACATGGCAGGTGGATGGAGATAGGCTGCAGTCGGTGTGTAGTGTGTATGTTGGAACGGGGGAGGTGGAGTATGTTTTTTCTTATCTCAAAACATGCTAACTACTGACCAGGAGGAAAATGATCATTGCTATAGAACAGAATCCGAACAGAGATAAGCTAGTTACTGATCCAGAGGCACTTCTCCTTTATGGCACAATCTCCGAAGTCATGGAGTGAGGAGGGGAAGGGAGGCCGGGAAATGAATCCACCCCATCACATCCCAAGAAGGTCCAGCGCCCATGCAAGTTTTTATCTGTCGCGGCCGCCTCTCTCAGGAAAAGTTGCTGTAACAACGGCCTGCATTTGTCAGGTGCACAGACCAGAGCCTTAGCTCGAGGCTGGTGCAGGGTATTGCTTTATGTCTCCCAGACACCCAGGGGATAACAATAAAGTGGATACACTTTTCAGCACACGCAGACCAACCTCCTCTCCTCCAGCACCTCACTCTAAGCCTGGGTGGTACTGTGTGCTCCCAACAAGACTGCACGAAGCTGGTGGCCTCAGCACTCTGCTCCCAGGGCTGGGGGGCACCCACACCAACACCTGGTCCTTTGGCCTACTGCCAACCCTGGGGCTCCTCTGCCCCAGCCCCTCTGCTGGTATTGGGGTGAGTGGAGCCAAGAGCAGGGACAATCGTCAGTGGGGGGAAAGAGGAGCCAACTTCTCTTCCTGTGCATCTAGTTCTGTTCCCCTAAACTCCAGAATTCCTGCCCCTCCAATGGGAGCTCTGGTCCTAGATCCTGCTACGGTTTTGCTGACAACCGACCCTGCCTGGTCACAACCTCTCAGTTCTGCTTTGTGTTGTGCACAGACCAACATCTGACAACACCCTGTTCTTTCACAGGAGCCCAGGGCAGTGTTAGAAATCCCTGGGCTGATGCACCATTGACACCTCGAGCAATTCCATAAGCAAAATGGTCCTCGACCAACACGACCAGATGAAAGCTGCATTTCCCTCTGTGGTCCAGGCTGAGTGCTGGCTTTCTACTTCCTCCTCTCCCTCAGCAAGAGGCTTTTCTTTGCACCTAGCAGTGAGCTTGACACGGTGCTTCAGAGCATTGGTGGTGCCCTCCCCTTGGCATGGGCTGGTCTCAAAAGCTAAAAAGGTCAGCGCCTGCTGTGTGGTGCTGTCATGCCACAGAGGCGCCTCAGCCGCAGAGCGCTGTGCTAGTGACATGCCTGCGCCTATGCCTCTGCCTGGCGAACACTCCACCCGACCCGAGCAACCCAGGTGTGCAGAAGGGGAGTCTACCTTTCTTAGCACTGGCGCCTCTAGGCGGGGACAACAGGCCCTGGTTCTGGAGGAAGTGATGGACAAAACTCCCTTTGGACTTGCAGCTTCCTCCCGGGTCGTGGGGCTCCTCAGGCGGGGGCCAGGAATAAACAATTTCAGCAACGCGGTTGGCAATTGAAACAACTTTCGAGTCTACAGCTGAAACAAGACAAAAATGGTGCTGAGAGGCCCTTCCCAGAACTTTGTCCGGCTCATTGGTATGCACAGCCCCCCCCCCCCAAGTGAAAAGCCCAGCCTAGAGGGAGAGGAAACTGCTCCGGGGTGGGGGGGGGTGTGGAGGTGGGAGGCCATTCCTCAGAAAGCCCTGGTAGTTGCCTGGCAGAGGCGGGGGTGGGGAGGAGTACACAGAGGAATGATTGCCACCTTGAAACAATTGCCCTTCTGCACCCTCTTTTTGAAGCCTTGCAACATTAGGGTCCCCTTTCCCCTTTGCGAGGGAAGAAACACAAAAGAATGTGCTTAGTCCTTTGCTCAAGGGAATGCTCATTATGCTTTTATTTTTATTCCTTTTTTTTTTTTTTGAACATCCTTTATATCTTGGAGAGCTGGCCCCAACGTGCATAGGAGGGCATTCAATAGTTTGACAAGCCTTTGGGAGTTGGTCACTGAGGAGAGAGAAATATCCCTGCTCTCAGGCCATATTCATTACTCAAGCCCATTATCAAGTAAACACCGAACTCCCCTTGCTCTTGCTCTCAGAGTTATGGTCTTCTCTCTCATCCACGTCTAATGGGAAACATCCAATTAATGCCAGTAGGTAAACCGAGATACATAAAGTGCAATCCATGTATGCCTTTTAAGAATTTATCATTCAGGAAAAGAGTTATGTATTTGCACACATCACTGCAGAATACATATGGGGACATGAAACTTTAAGTGGCAGTGGCAGTGGCCCCCTGAACGTCCTAGCCTGTGAAGGACAAGTCAGCTCTGGCTCTGGTCAGGGCTGGGGTAGGGGGGGTGGGGTGGGCAGGTGGTACCAGTGAGTTATTTGGTACCAAAATTTTCATTGTTGATTTGTCACGAGAAATTTGTACAAGCTGTGTCTTTGATGTCATATGGAGCATATGTAATATGTGAAAAACACTACTATTCCATTCACTCGCTTGAAGAAAGTGACAGTGGGAGTTTAGCTAGAAGGTTGGAGTGTCCAGGGTAACTCCTGGTTTGTGAATCAGAAATGGATAAGAGAGGCAAGGCCTGGGTCTCAGGGGGAAAGGGGAATTGTATCACTGGCTTTGACATCCCGTGGAGCTGTTGAGGTGATTTCTGACTCCCTCTCCCTAGATTCCTACATGAGAGCTTTGGTGCTCTCTGTTCACACTCTGGGCATCACTGGGAGGCCACGGGAACTAATGCTTTGTCAACAATGCCTTCCTTTAAAAAAGGGCATGATGGTTTCTTAAAAAGCCACATTTTTCATGCGTGGCCCATAGGGTTCAAAAATAGATAAGGAGAGAACTGAGAGACGAATTAGAAAGTCAAAGAGAAAAGGATCGATGCTTTTCCTTCTAATTTTAACAACCAGACCAAAGACATACTTTCTACCTTATTGCAGCCCAATTGGCCTCCTCTGGGATATTTGACACGCATGGCCCCTGGCAAAGAAATGGGGAAAGGCTGGATCCCAAGGCCAGAGTGAACCTTCTCTTGTGTGTGCAAAAGAGAGGAAAGGGCAGCTTACATTCTCTTCCTCTGTAACCCTGTGCAACCTGTCTAGGGTGGTCAGCACATGGCTCTCCCCCTGGGAGTCAAACTGTGCCCATCTTGCACCCAGAGGAGGCAGATGAAGGCCTCAGAGGCTGTCCCTTCTCATCCTCCAGCCCCCGCCATGTGGCAGGGAGATCCTGAGGCCACTGGTGGGTGCTGAAACAGCCACCCTGACTCCATTTCTATGAACCGGTGGATTCGGAGTGAGGGAGGCAAGTGACATATGTGCAGGAAAAAGTATAAGCAAACACATTTCGACTCAGATGAGCCAGCTCATGTTAAACTAGACTCTCATTTTAAATACCTTAATTTTAAACACAGAGCAAAGAAAAGATTCCCTTCTTGTTAAGAGTCTATCTCATCTGATGGGTAAGGGAAAATTAGATGGGGCAGGGAGAGGACAGAAAGGCTGTCCATCCTTTGGGGTCTCTGGTGGCGGAGGACGTCATTTTGGTGCTAAGGAGAGCAAGGGAGCACAGTTGAGAGGTTGCCAGTCAGCCTTTGGCCTGAGGCATTAAAAAAATTTTTTTTAAAGATGTATTTATTTACTTGAGAGAGAGAGAGAACGAGAGAGAAAGGGAGCATGTACGCTCAGGAGAGAGGGAGAGAATCTCAAGCAGACTCCCTACTTTGCTTGAAGCCTAAGTCAGGGCTCAATCTCACGACCTGGAGATCATGACATGAGTGGAAACCAAGAGTCAGATGCTTAATGGACTGAGCCACCCAGGTGCCCCCCCACCCAAAGCATTTGTTTTAAGGAGAAGGGGCAGGGCATTTCTCTATGGTTGAGACTGCTATTTCCTTCCTTGTATTCATTCTCTTCGTCCTTAGCAAGAGACCCCTGAGATGTCACAGGCAGCAATGAGTTCAGCTGAACGGACCACATTTTTCCAGCCTTCCTTACAGTAAAGAGTGGCCAACAGTTGTAAGAAAAGTTGAGTACAGGTTCAAGAAAGCTCTCAAAAAGGGAACAGAATCATCTAGAATGAAGATACTCTTTGTGTCAATCTGTCCCACTTGTTTCCTCTTCTTCCTGCTTGAAAAGTACAGGTGATAGCTGGAGTCTCTGCAGCTACCTGGAAATATAAGGTGACTCTGAGGTTGGAAGCCACTAGCCAAGGGATCACAGAATAAGAATCTCTGATGATTGTTGGAGCTGCCATATCAGGCCTGGGCTGCCAAACTTTGATTTTCTCTTATAGAAGGGAAAAATACTCTACATTATTGAAGCCATAATTTGAGTTTTCTACTCTATGTATCTGAACCCAATCGTGACTATATCATTTCACATGCAGCAAATCCTAGCTGTGGACACAAGGGTTCACAAATCAAAGAACCTGGGTTGGTATTGACACCCATTCTTCTACCTCCTAGACTTTGATCTTGGGACATAACCTTATAATTCTCACTGCAGCCTGATGTCTGAGTCCTGGAAACAGCAGCAAGGTCTAAATTGTGACCTGCAGTTAAAAGTACCCGGGTGACACCGACTGTTAAGCTCTGATTTATACGTGGCAAAATAGAAACAGAATGTGAAGCTCTCTTGAGTCACATCCAATGTAAAAACCAACTAACTACTCACAAAATTAAAAAGCAGGCAAGAAAAAGGTGAGAAGGGAGGATACATTGAATATAAATGTCTATGGCAAAGGGCTCCTTGGGAAGTAATCATTTTGGGGCACCTGGGTGGCTCAGTGGTTGAGTGTCTGCCTTTGGCTCAGGTCATGATCCTAGGGTCCTGGGATAGAGTCCTGCATCAGGTTCCCTGCATGAAGCCTGCTTCTCCCTCTGCCTATGTCTCTGCCTCTCTGTGTCTCTCATGAATGGATAAATAAAATCTTGAAAAAAAGGGGAAGTAATCATTTCTACTATTTTAGAGATACTATTTTATCTCTATTTGTAGAAAGATCTTAGAAATTTTAATAAATAGAAAAAAGGCAAATGACACTTCAGTACTATTGAAATACAGAATTCCTTTATCACAGGAAACCCAGATTAAAGTCCGTAAATACTTCCTCTGTCTCTCGGCAAAGTCCAAAGGATAGCCAAGCAGAGAAGCCTATTTAGGGGCCTCCAAACTGTTCTGTATGGTCCAGAGCTCAGCTACCATCTGTACCATTGCGGGGTGGCGAGAGGATGAGTCCTCCCAGATAATCTCACCTCTAACTTCTGCTGTTCTAAAATTTTCTAAGTCTAATGGGAAGTAAAAGATTCCTTGATCCTAGTGAGTGAGTGAAAACTGCCAAGTGTGGGTAGATTCTCCAAGCCAGGACAGTCACACCATCTTAAAATTGAGACATTACTGCCACCTGTTGACTAATTATTGACATATTACCCCAACCATCAAACCCAGCAGGAGAGGGGGATTTCTTTCAAAATCTGGGCAGCGGGCACTTGGCATCGTTGATGGCTTGTGGATGAAGGGCAATGCTCTGTGGTGGAGCCCTTCAGGAAAGTGTTGTATTCAATATAATGCATTCTGCCCCACTGAGGAAAGGTTTTGTTGAAATGCTTCTCAGTTGTTTGTTTTTGTTTTTTTAGAGTGCTTTATAAAAGTATTATTATTATTATTATTATTATTAAAAGTATTTTTGTATAGAGCTCCTTGATCTTTCCATCCACCCTAAGAGATCGGGAGGGTGGGACACCCTGGTGTACAGATGGAAACAGAGGTCCGGACAGGTGAGCTGATTTACCGCAAGAGAACAGCACCCTGAGCCCCTGCAGAGGGCTTTGCCCTCCATGCTGGTCTCTGGCACAGAGGATCAGGATTTGGGGCAGCAAGATTATTTCTAAAGTGGAGCCAGAAACCAGTCCTGCCACCCTTCACTGCCAGCCTCTTACTTTCTGCTCAGTCTCGAGAAAAGCAGGGCAATCATGACTGAATATTAACAAGCTGGGAAACTGAGGCACAACAGTGTCCTGTCTCAGGCCACATTACCAGCTGGGAGGAGATGAAATGCCACACACACAAAGAAGGGAAAGATTTTGTTGTGAGAGAGGAAGCCCCCAAAGCCTACCTTCCTGCTCCCTGTGCTGTTCCACGTTAGTAAGGGACCTAGACCAGTGCTGGCTCCGATGACCATCTTCCTGTTCTGCTGCCGTCTGGCCCTCCGCACAGAGCTCGGTATCTTCCTCTTTTTCTATGACTCCAAAGAGTGTTCTCCAGGAGGACTTTTTCTTGGCTGGGCTGAAGGGCTTCTCACTGGATGGGGAATTTCTGCAAGGCCATGACACCTGTGTCTGTGAGTCATTTGCCACCCAACCCCTCGGTCCTTTCTGGGAGAAACCTTGTCTTCTCAGCAGCCTTGGCGAGAAGATGGCAGAGGTGTTCTTGAAGACATGGTGTCTGGCATAGAACAGCAGGATTTTGAATTCTATGCTGTCTGTGTCATCATCATCCAGGGGGATCTCCTCCAGATCACAGGAACTGGTGGTGCACATGACGAGCCTGCAATGACAAAGCCCACACGTGTCCTTTTACCTGTGAGCACACTACTCTCCATGGTCAGGGGAGACAGGTGTGGAACTCCATGAACATTTAGTGAGCCCCTATTCTGTTTGTGCAGGGAGGCGGGAAGTCATCAGAAGTGGAAAATTCAGAGTTCCTTCTGGAAGTGCAGTCTGAGACGAGGAAAAGAGGAGGTGCATAGACAGCTCCACGCAGAGAGTGGACAAGGAGCTGGATCAGGATTGCAGATAGCCAGTGTGGGGAGAAACAGCGCGCTTCCAAGGGAGAGCAAGCGAAATCTCCTTGACAGATAGTAAAGGTTTATGTGGGGGGCACCTGGGTGGCTCAGCAGTTGAGCATCTGCTTCTGGCTCAGGTCACGATCCCAGGGTCCTGAGATCGAGTGCCACATCGGGCTCTCTGCATGGAGCTTGTTTCTCCCTCTGTCTGTGTCTCTGCCTCTCTCTCTGTGTCTTTCATGAATAAATAAATAAAATCTTTAAAAAGAAAAGAAAAAAACGGCTTATGCGGGTGAGTGAACAGGGTGGACAGAGGCAGACTATGGTTGAGTCTAGGATCTAGGACATGCGTGGAGAGTGGTGAGAGAGCTGGTGCTTTGTGCATGGCTGGGGGGGAGGGACGTGGAGGGACAGGAAGTGAAATGGCAACTACGGGGGCCTTTGAATATGTGACTGAAAGTTTTCTGTGTTTTCTCAATCGGTTCCATCAGTACATCTCAACAGGAGCCCCAGACCATGGGAGGCAGTTAAAGGGCTTCTTGGGGAGGGTAGGTGAGCAAAGGGGGAGGCTAATTCAGCAGAAGGAAATGCCTGGGGTCCCTGACCCTTCCCACCTCTCTTCCTTCTTCCTTTATGGTCTGCATGGGCTTGTATGGGTCTAAGCTCCGCAGACCTGCCTCAGGGAACTGAACATAAACAAAGCTTGAGGGTTATGGTGTGAGGTGTGGGGGTCATGACCACTGTACTCCCTCCTCACTTCCAGTTTCTCATGTCCCCGTCCTATTCCAGGCTTCAAAGATCTTTTCTTCCCTCACCCTCTCCCAATATCATGGTCACGTGATGCATCACGGTACAACTTTTGCTGTCTGGGATCCCTTGGACATCTTCGGAAAGCACTGGCTCCTCTGTTCACATTCTTACCCTCCCCCGCCACACGGTCCCACCGGGCAACAGTTTGCCCCCTTCCTGGTGGGGGTGTCAGTCATCCCCATTAGGATCCTTTCCCAAGTCTGCCTAGGTTTATTCTCTTCTCCTTAACACAAGATAAGCCCCACCAGGGCAGGCCTGTTTGTGTGCTGTTTCCTCTCTGTCACACACCCAATACCTGCAATAATGCCTGGCACAAAAAGGCACTTGACAATGACTTGTAGAATTTTTTTCCTATTCCAAGACAGACTGGGCTCAGATCCTAGCTCTGCCGCTAGAGGTTATGTGACTTGTCTCTATAACTTGGTTTATCACTTTTTTTTTCAAAGATTTATTTATTCATGAAAGAAAAGAGAGAGAGAGAGGCAGAGACATAGGCAGAGGAAGAAGCAGGCTCCTCCCAATTTGTCATGTTGAAAATGGGGATGATAACAGATCCCAATTCATACTGTTATGAAGATGAAATTAATTGATATTTGTAAAGCATTTAGAGTAGAACTTAAGTGTTTGAACAAGTGCCTGATTAAGTCTTTCATTGCAGAATATTTATGAAACTCACTTTGAGCACAAGTGATTTAGTTAAGCTCCAAGGGGGTTCCAGATGGCATTAGAAGAGTGCAATATTTGGAATGAGGAGTTGGGTTGAAGAACTGCTTTTTTTACTTATTGGCAAAGGGACTGAGGCAAATCACTAGCCTCTTTGACTTACATAGTTTTCTACTTACAAAATGTGACTCATGTTATCTAACTCATTGACCATGGAGGAGGACTAATTAAACTGTGAAAATCCTTAAAACAAGTGTTGGTCTGCACAGAGTAGTGCTTTACATATTGGTTTCTTGATTTAGGTAATCTAGTTTATGTCCCGGGTCATCTGCCTGCTAGCTGTGTGACTGGGTACATTTCTTAATTTATTTGGACCTCCATTTGCCATCTTCAAAATGGAGATTAAAAAAACAAAACAAAACAAGGGGCACCTGGGTGGCTCAATGGTTGACCATCTGCCTTTGGCCCAGGGCATGATCCTGGGGTCCTGGGATGAGTCCCACATCAGGCTCCCTGCATGGAGCCTGCTTCTCCCTCTGCCTGTGTCTCTGCCTCTCTCTCTCTCTCATGAATAAATATATGAAAATTTTAAAACAAAAACTAAAACAAAAAAACTCTGCTTCATCAAATTTGCATGTGGATGGATAAAAATACTTAGTGTGTGTAAATCACTTAAAATAGTGCATGGCAGATGATAAATGCTCAAGAAATATTGGCATTATTATGTATTACAATTATTTTAATAGGCCACTTTTTTGTGAGTAAATATTAATGTAAAAGCAAGCTCATCAATGCTTCATTATCTAACTAGTGACTTACAAATATTAGTTTCTTTACGAAGGCCACATTCTTCCTATAGATTCATATGTATATGTACATAGTATGTGTGTATATAAAGTATCTATTCTGTAAGGTATGAAGGCTGGGACCTGGTCGGCTTTTTCAGCACCTAGCACGATGCCTGACATATGTAAGTTCTCCATAAATATTTGATGAATGAATGAAAAATGATTATAGAGCTGCCAAATAAAATACAGGACATCCTATCAAATTCGAATTTCAGATAAGCATATATTTTAGTATAAATATGTCCCCAGTATTGTATGGAACATACTTATACTTTAAAAAAAGTATTTGTTGTTCATCTGAAATGCAGATTAAACTGGGTATCTTGCATGGGATCCCTGGGTGGTGTAGCGGTTTAGCTGCCGGCCTTTGGCCCGGGGTGTGATCCTGGAGACCCGGGATCAAATCCCACGTCGGGCTCCCGGTGCATGGAGCCTGCTTCTCCCTCTGCCTATGTCTCGCCTCTCTCTCTCTCTGTGACTATCATAAATAAATAAAAATTAAAAAAAAAAAACTGGGTATCTTGCATTTTTGTGCAAATCTGGCAACCGTATGAATGAAAGATATAGTTTAGAAATATTGAGAACTGAGGCACACAAAAGCAACCAAAGTGGACCAAAGAGAGAATGAGCAACCTGAGACAAGCTAGAGAAGGAGCCAGAAAGGGTGAGGGGAGAGGGCAGGACAGGCGTTCAGAACTGTGGCAGCAGCACAGGCATAAGGAGCTGTGCCCAGGTGAAAACCCAGGGCAGGGAAGTGTCAGGACAGAAGTGATAAAGTTTAAAATGTGAAGCTTCCTTTGGAATTGGGCAGCTCAAGAATGGCACCAGTGAGAAATACACTCAAGTCCTGCAGGAACGAGGTCTTGAGTGGGAGGGTGAGCCCTCTCTTCAAGCCATACTATGCATCCAAAGATACCTGCATGTAAATTAAAAAAAAAAACCCAAAAACTCCCAAAGCTTTCTAAGGTAGTGGGAAGACTTGAAAACTGTGTGTGTGTGGCACTGACCAGAGAGGAAGGGTCCTGACTTCTTTAAGAAACAAGCTTGCTGAATGCTGATGCAGGAGCAGCATCAGAAAAGGAAAAAACCAAGGAGGTCAAGATGGAGCAGGGTCTTTCCATTTTTGCGAAAGAAGAGATTTTTGTCATTTTACAGTACAGGAAGGAACAGAGTCCTTGCTCCCCCTGCCCCCAGCCCCCCAATAGGTGAGACTGAAAATGAGAGAGAAGCAGAAAGCATTGCAGTGCTGAGGCCATGGCCTGGATGAGGCAATCCTACTGCGAGCTGCGGGGTGCAGGGGTGCTGTGACCCTGGCCTGGAAACCTCTGGGCTGAAACAAATAGCTGACACCTAAAAGTATTAGTTCTGACTCTTTAAATGTGTTTAACAAGCATAGGGTTCCCCCCCCGACCCCCCAAATGATCTTCATTGAAAAGGATCCTGCTACCTTTGTAGCTAAGTCTCATTTTAAAAACCACATTGGGGGAGTTTACCTCATGTCAGATCCCTACTGCTCTCAGCCATTCCTGTTGAAAGTAAAAGCCCAACTTTTGGGATTATGGAAACTTACACCATAAATTTTATGCATGTATGCGGAAAGGAAGTCCAGGCCCTCCCCCTCTCTCCGCCCCCACCCTCCCCAGTGGGCTGGATCAGACCCAGGAGTGGGGAAGCAGCTGCAGAAGAACACCTGTGAGGCTTAGGCTACTTCGGTGACGGGACACAGCCTACTCCTCCCACATCCTCTGTTTGTCTCCTTATCTGGAACAAACGATGGCAAACCTACTTTGGAAAGCAAGGTTACAGAGCTGCTTGGATTGGCCTCTTTCCCCTTGCCCCAGTCACTGAAATGGCTAAAGCCCCCCCACCCCACCCCAGTCCCCTGCCCCCAGGGTCCCCGCAGCCTGGCCCTTGGGAGCACCCAGCAGAGGGCAGTGTGGCTGCCCAGCGTGTTAAGTGGGGAAGCTCCTCAGCTGTCATCTATCACCAGACCCCCTGCGGGGAGTTTTAGCAGTGGATTCGTTTGTCAAGGTTAGATTTCTCTTCCCTTCCCTTGGCAGGTAATGGATAAGCATGTGTGCTCTGTGATTCCAGCACAGAGGCTGCCACAACCAGTGCCTGGAGCTGATGGGGAAGGAGTTGGCTCATGCGGCTGTGGCTGGGCCCGCTGGGGGTGAGGGTGTTGGTGGCACCTGCTCGGGCCCAGCAGAAGAGCTGCCTTCCACCGCCTTCCACTCCTCTGGGCAGAGGAGGCCTGGGTGTCACCTGTGCCTGGAGACACTCCTCCCTGAGGGAGCTTCCCCAACCACAGTTTCAGCTCAGTTTTGTCTGGTGGCCCTGAGCCTCCCCCGTCAGCACCCTATGCCCCGCTGTGCACTTCAGAGCCTGTCTGTCCTTTCCCTTTGTCCCTGGACTTCAGACTTTTTAGTACCTCCAGGCCTCTCCCCTGCTTGTCATCTCTGAGGATGACCTGGTTTTTAATCCTAAGGGTAAAATGAGGCAAAAATGTCTTAACTTCCCATGTTAGTGAAACAGAAGCACTGAGGCTGGAGGGTGAGGGGTGGGGACTCAGAGAGGAGGGAGCCTTCTAGAAGGGGAGGGAGAGCGACTGTCCATTTTACCTGGGCCCCATGCTCAGGGAAGCCACTGAGGGTCTGCAGGAGCTAGACCACGTTCCCAGCAGGTGCTTAGCACTCTGGGCGCCAACCCAGGGATTCCTGTCCTCAGCCCCATCCTTGCTCTAGAGGTGGGAGTTGGCATCTCCATGGGCTCCTGACCACTGATAAGCGGTCGCATCTCACACACACGCTGTCATATACTCAAAGAGGCCTGCGTAATGTTAAAAACCATCCAGCCAGTTACATACACTTAACTGCACTATCTCAAACCCCCTGTAGCAAAGGAGAAATGAAAGAGAAACCTGAGAGAGCTGTCTCTCCTCTTCCTGGAAACCCCAACAAACTAGATTCTTGCCTGTCATCTTATTTCCCGAGACTGACATGATAATAAGAACTTTCGAATAAAGCCAGTCAACCTCTCCTCTGGTTAGATTGGCTTCCTTGGCAAACCCAGGCCTGTAGACCCAACCGTGTCCTCCTGGGGAGGCTGAGAACCTAGACTGGTGCTTCCTGGTGTTACCTGGGAATGGAGCTGGCTCTGGCTTCTCCGGCTCCAGGTCAGAGGGCAGCAAGGGTAGTTCTATACCTGAGTCTCTCTCCGTAAAACTTAAGAGGAAACTTTCACCAGGTCTTCTGGGCTTCTCATTTAGGGAGGTTCATGGGATGAAGACTCACTTGGCTGTAGCCTCTGCAGGTTGGGGACGGAGGCTGAAGAAAGCCTCAGGCAAGGACTACTACTTCCTCATTAAGCCCTGCCCCTAGCTTTTTAACTAAAGGAGGGGCTGAACTTTGCCCATGTAATTTGACTCTAAAAGTAGTTGGACATTCTTTGTCAAAATCTCTCACTGCCCTTTAGGACAATGAGGTGGGTGTTTCCTCCAGAGAGTTCTTTACATTCTTTACATTTCACCGGTTGAGCAAATGTTGGTTGGCCGCCTAATATAGGACCGGCATCGTACACACATTTAATCTTAACACCCAGAGGCAGGTGTTAGGATTCCCATTTTACAGATGAAGAATCAGGTTCTAGGAAGCAGCGTGTTTTGCCAGTGGTCCCTGCCAGTGGAGCTGAGACCCAAACCCTGGCCCCCCTAGCTTCACGTTATATCATGTTACCCCTCCACTGTTATTCAAAGACTATATTCAAATGGAATCTTTTCCAGGGGTTCCAGACTGACTCTAAACCTCAGCCATAGAAGCCACAAAAACTCATTCCCCCCCCCCCACAATTTTAAAGATAGAATTCCCTACATATATGAGAGAAGGGAGTCACATATGAATTCACATTCTATCCAGATTCTTAACTGAAAGAGACATTTATGGCCATATATGTGATCCTGAAACCTTGAGAGCTGGCCAGTAAAACATGAAGATGAAGGAAGTGTGAATGGGGAAAGAGGAATTAAGACTAATTTCATAAAAGTGAAGGAAGAACTGGCAGTTTAAATGTTAGGCAAACAGATCCACGAGAAACAAACGGACAGTGGTTGTGGGAAAGTCAGTTCTTTGGTGACCCAAAGTGAGTGTTAATCAGCAAACTAGTATTTACTGCACATGACATGTGCCAGTCTAGTCAACTTACGGGGTAACAAAATAATAAGAAAAGTTTTTCTTAAAAAAAACAAAAGTCATTTTGGGATGCCTGGGTGGCTCAGTTGGTTAAGCAACCCACTCTTGATTCTGGCTCAGTTCATGATCTCAAAGTCATGAGTTCAAGCCCCACGTGGGCTCTGTGCTCAGTGGGAAGTCTGCTTGAGATTCTCTTTCCCTCCACTTTCCCTTCTTCCCTGCTCGTGCCTATGTGCATGTGCTCTCTCTCAAAAAATAAAATCTTAAAAAAAAAAACGTAGTTAAAAAAGAGAGACATATTCATTTGAAATGGTTAAAGAATCAACAAATGCATATCATCAATAACTAAATCACTTTGTGTGGGCTAGAGTTGTTATTGGTATTCAGAGTTATATAACTTAATGAAACTGGTTGCAGAAACCATTTACAATCCCATAAGATCTTGGCAAGGTTAAGTATAAACACAAGAAGCGGGAACTGGTACAGGAGGCAGGCTCATTGAAGATACACAATATCCATTAATCATTCAATTTGGCGACTCCCATACCCAACAAGCTAGCACATAATAAGGATGGGACTTAATACATGTTATATATTAAAAAACCAAATACACTTTGTCCTGCTCCTAAAAATACACATAGTGTTGGAGAAAACCTGTAAAACATAAAATAGCATACATTAAAGACCACCATGATCTAGTCAGTGGTAAATGTTATTAAAAATTTGGTGTATTTTCCTTCTCCCTATGACAAAAAATTCTAGCAACCTCTGGAGTATCTACCCCGCCCACTGCCCTTCCTTTTCACACTGCTTCCAATTATGGCACTTACTAGGATGTACCCCTGCAGAGCAGTGGACCAAATGACCCCTGCCCCTTTAATCATATCCACGTGGACAAGAAGTGAATTGCTTACTACCCAAGTCAGGCTAATTCAATTCCATATGCCAGAAATTTGGAACTGTGTACAAGGACTCTAGCCAGACTCTGCCGGGTGTTTCAACTGGGTGGCTGTGTTTGGGTTCCACGTAGCAGAGGAGCAAAAGTAGGCAGACTGAGAAAGCGAGGAAGAGACTAAGCAAGAGAGAAATGGGAAGCAACAGGGTGCCAGGGAGCAGGAGAGAGTGCTGCCCTGGATCCTGAGAGCTCTCCACTTGCCACCTGGGAACTGGGAGACTCCTTTTTTTTTTTTTTTTAAATTCAGCTGATCTGAGTGTTTCTTTGAAGAGAAGGATTCCTGAACAAATACAATGTACACGGTTTTACATAGTTCAGATGTTATCATAGTTTTGAGACTTGCTTTTTCTTTTCCCTTTTTTTTTTTAACTAGGCTCCATGCCCAACATGGGGCTAGAATTCGCCCTGCGATCAAGAGTCCCGTGCTTTACCGACTGAGCCAGCCAGGCGCCCCTTGTGACTTGCTTCTTGCATTTAGCATCTATCATAAGGTTATCTCCATATGAACAAACATATTTTGTAAATAGAATTTTTAATGGCTGCAGAAGTCCAGTGAATGGAAGCACTAAAATTATTCAAGCAGGCAGATATTTTTTAAATGTTTTGCTTGTTTTCATGTGTTCACTATTATAAATAATATTTCACAGTATAGTTTTGTCATCTTTGCCCCTATTTTGCATTGTTTCCTCAGGAATGATTCCTAGGAGTTGAGTTTTTGGCAATGGATTTTTTTTGCAATTGTTATATTTATTTTCAATCTGCCTTAATCTTAGATTCTGGAATTTATTTGACCTCTGATGGGAACTATGTCTAAGGGAAAAATCTGAAGTGTTTGTATGTATGAATAAAAAGCTCATCTCAGGAAAACTTTGAGTTTTTTTGCCCAACTTTTAAGTGAGTATAAAGTGAATACCAAGTAAGACTTGAAAGCCCAGATGAGCAGATTTTAGAATGGACACCATACTACTCTGGGGCTGATTCTCATCCTTATTTCAATTTTGATGAAACTGGATGAAATGAAGCAACAAAAGAATGAAACTGGTTCAGATGAAACATTTGAAAAAAGGAGCAGAGGAAAAGCATCATTTGTTACAAAGTCTACCTGGGAAGGGGTTCAGAGTATGCTACTCCAATTTGGCTCTAAGGGATGTTTTGAGCTGAAAGCAGTTAAGAAGCAGACACAGGACACCTGGGCAGCTCAGTGGTTAAGCGTCTGCCTTCAGCCCAGGGCGTGATCCTGGAGACCCGGAATCGAATCCTGCATCGGGCTCCCTGCATGGAGCCTACTTCTCCCTCTGCCTATGTCTCTGTGTTTCTCATGAATAAATAACTAAAATCTTAAAAAAAAAAAAACAAAAACCCTAGAGCTGGAACCAAAGGAGTCGACAGAGAAACCTTACTGAAGCAAAGTCTTCCATTAGTTTCTCATGTAGATTTACCTTCCCATAGTTTGCTGCCCCAAGAGCCCTTTTTCTTTGTCTTGTCATTTCTCTATAAATTTATTGTCCTCCACTCAGCTTTATTGAGGTGTAACCAAATAAAATTGTAATATACTTGAAATGTACAACATCATGATTTGATATATGAAACATCTATGATACATTATGAAAGGACTTTCATCATGGAGTTAATCAGCAAATCCATCACATCACATGCTTTTGGGGGGGGGTGAGAACACCTAAGCTCCCTCTTAAATTTTGATTTTTTCAATACAGTCTTATCAACTATAAAGTCACCATGTTATGCATTAGATCCTCAGACCTTACGCATCTTATAAGAAAATTTGTAAGCTTCCACCAGCCTCTTCCTATTTCCTCTGCCTCCCAGCTACTGGCATCACTCTATGCTCTGTTTCTACCAGTTTGTTTTTGCTTTTTTTTTTTTTTTTTTTTTTTTTTTTATGATAGGCACACAGTGAGAGAGAGAGAGGCAGAGACACAGGCAGAGGGAGAAGCAGGCTCCATGCACCGGGAGCCTGACATGGGATTCGATCCCGGGTCTCCAGGATCGTGCCCTGGGCCAAAGGCAGGCGCTAAACCGCTGCGCCACCCAGGGATCCCTGTTTTTGCTTTTAAGCTTCTACATATACATGACAACAAGCAAATTTGTCTGGCTTATTTCACTTAGCACAATGTTCTCCAGGTTCATCCATGTTGTCACAAATGGCAGGATTTCCTACATTTTTGAGGCTGAAAACATTCTATTTTATAGATATTTCTTGAGGAAACTTCATGTGGTTTTCCATAGTGTGTGTTTCAGTTCACATTCTCACCAACGGGGCACAAGAGTTTCCTTTGCTCCACATCCTCATGGGCATTTAACATTTCTTGCCTTTTTGATAATAGACAACCTGACAGGTATGAGCTGATATCTCATTGTGGTTTTGATTTGCATTTCCTTGATGCTTAGTGATCGCAAACACCTTTTCATGTACCTGGTGGCTGTCTGTAACTCTTCTTTGGCAAAATGTCTATTGAGGTTCTTAGCCCGTTTAAAAACCTGGTAGTTTGGGGGGTTTTTGTTTTGTTTTGTTTTGTTTTGTTTGTTTTTGCTATTGTAGGAGTTCCTTGAATAGTTTGGATAGTAATCTCTTATTGGACATATTATTTGCAAATGCTTATTCCCACAGCATATGTTGACTTTTCATTTTGTTGATGGTTTCCTTTGCTGTGCACAAGCTTTCTTAGTTTGATGTAGTCTCATTTACTTATTTTTGCTTTGTTCCTTTTGCTTTTGTCAAATCCAAGAAATCATCACCAAGACCAATGCCAAAGAGTTTAACTCGTATGTTTTCTTCTAACTGTTTTATAGTTTCAAGTCTTGCAATCAAGTCTTTAATCAATTTTGTTGATTTTTGTGTGTGGTACAAGGTAGGAATCCAGTTTCATTCCTTTGCAGGAAGATATCCTGTTTTCCTAACACCATTTATTTGAGAGACTTTTCTTTCCCTATTGCATATTCTTGGCTCCTTTGATGAAAATTAAGTGACCATATACACATGGGATTATTTTTGGGCTCTCTATTCTGTTTCATAGATCTATGTTATTTGTTTTTATGCCAATACCATACTGATATGATTACTACAGCTTTACAATATAGTTTTAAATCAGGAAGTGTGATGCCTCTGGTTTTGTTCTTGTTCAAGATTGCTTTGGCTATTTGGAATCTTTTGTGGATCCTTACAAA